CCACAAGTGTGGGGCCACGTGGTTGTGTAAGTCGTAGCTAGATGGAGAGCAGTTGTGGAGCTCTTTGGTGTCTCTGTGTGGCTACAGGCTCTTCTTTTCAACAGGAGGCTTAAACAAAAGCGTCTTGTGAATGCAGAGAACCTCATTTCCTACACAAGAAGTACACTCTAGCGTTTTGTTAAGGTTACTCTTGGCTCCAGGGGTGCTGACAGCAAAGAGCTGGCTCTGGCCCGGTGAGCCAGGCCTGGCTTTGGCTCCTGTGTGCCGTGTCCCATGGGAGCTCCTCACAGCAGGACTTCTCCTAAACCCTTCCTCAGCAGGGCAGGACTGCACACTGCATGTCCCAATTCTCTGGTGGGGTTTGAGGTGTTACCTCACCTGGTGCTGTTTTTCCAATTGATAACTCTTGGCTAGTCAGGATGCAAGTGACTAAAAGAGTGTGTGTCACTAACTCTCCATTTTCTTCCTTGTGATATCATTTACGATAGTTCATTCTCGTGGTCTTGCTGTTAAAGCACCCCATTTCCAAATCACTGGGCATGTTTCCAGAAGTGTATCTCGCAGAAATGCTGATACCTAGTTCCCTTAAGCTTGAAATTGCCTTGGAAGTGTTTAACTGAGCACATGGTTGGGTTTTGTTAGTGCATGAATATGTAAGGATTTAATTGCTGAGTGAAGTGCAAAGCATGGAGCACTCTCTGAACTCGGAGCAGAGTGTGCTGAGATCACACAGAATAAACCTCCAGCTGGGGATGGCTTGCTTTTACTGCAGTGAGAGGAGGAAGAGGTTGTGTGCACCTTTATTCAGCTGTCCTAAGGCTGGCAGCAGCTCATCCGTGTGGCTGCTCGTAGGGATGTGGGTTAATCATGGCTCAAAGCCCTAAAACCTCAGTAAACGTTGCTGAGTAAAGTGCATCAGCATTCACACCTGTTTAACCCGAGGTACGGGGAGGGCATGGTAAGGGAAGGTGATATCAGCTTTCTAATTGCTAGGCTTGCAAACCCACCCAGGGGAAGGGAAGGTGTTTTCTCATCCGTGTGGCTGCTCGTAGGGATGTGGGTTAATCATGGCTCAAAGCCCTAAAACCTCAGTAAACGTTGCTGAGTAAAGTGCATCAGCATTCACACCTGTTTAACCCGAGGTACGGGGAGGGCATGGTAAGGGAAGGTGATATCAGCTTTCTAATTGCTAGGCTTGCAAACCCACCCAGGGGAAGGGAAGGTGTTTTCCTGAGAACAGAAGCTGGGGAGGACGTGGGTCGCAGGAGGTTTCACCCCAGTCATCACTCTGCTGCACTAACTCTGCAGAGCAGTGATGTGATTTTATAACCGTGGTGAGGAGATCCAGTGCTGAGTGTACAGACCCAGGAGATCTGTCGAGCAGGAAGGTGACAGCTTTATGTGTTAGCTCGTGGGAGTAGCTGTAGGCTTCACGAAAACTGCCTGCGAGAGCTTGTCTTGGGCTGGGTTGGTGGTTGGATCATAACAATTCATACACATGGCTCAGATATCCCAAATAAAGTATTGCTTCCCATTGTGATATTGGCCATAATTTGCTTCATTGCCTGGCAGTTTCAAATTATTTGACAATAAAAGTGTCAGCAAGCCTATAAAAGTAAAACACATGCTTAGAGGAAGATGATGCTTTATTTTTTAAAAGATGATATGCAGTGACTTTATGAAGAAAAGAACCCGAAAGAAATGAGCCTTTATAGTCCACAGCGCTCAAATCTAAAGCCTTACGCAAAGCGTTTCGTGATGCTTCACAGTCAGAGGTTAAGAAAGCTAAAGTCAAAATCAAAATGTGTAGTATTTTTCTTGGCTTGAAAGCCAAAAAATGTAACTATATATTTGCATTTTGTGGTGCCAATATTCTGTGAAAGGAACACAGCTCTGCCTTACCGCTCCGCTCTGTGTCGGAGGGGTGGGAGGGGAAAGGAACATTGCTGTGCCTGGTTTTCAGTGCCAGTGCTGCCTGACAGGCCTGTGCTCACTGTCAGATCCACAGGGCCTGACATACTCCCCCCCAAGTCCCCTGCTGGGCTCCTGCACAGGGCACAGAGTGCCAGTCTGCGCGGACAGGGAAGGGCTGGGGAGCTCCTGTAGGAGGGACACGTCCAGCCAAGCCTTCCCCGAGGCTGCGGCACGGCACACACTGCTTCTCTCTGCCTGTGGGTCATGTACAAAGTCACTGGAAGTTGTGCTTTCAGCCTTCTTGCCTGTGAAAGAAGTTGCATGCTCTCAGTCACTTTTGAAGGTGACTGGTTTTTCGAGGCTGTTGGCTAACACTGTGGTACTGAGGTGTGTGCAAGGCATTCTGTCCGTGAAGCATCCGCCAGGTTGTCTGATTGTTCTCAGACCTTGCATTGGTCAGTTTTACTTAGCAGTGCTGGCAGCATTTTGCATTATGTTTGGGAGGAAAGAGTATATATATACACTCAGGACTGAAGCATGAGTATGTTGCTCTGCCTTAAACATTTCTTCAAAGGTAAGCCACACAGGTCAAGATGCCTATAAGGCCAATTTTCCTTGTGCATTAGTGTTCATATTGCTGCTGCATTTGGTTGCAGTCCAAATAACACTAAGCAGCTGTTTGTGTACGTGACCATTTTGAGACTGCACCATCAGGCAGGTAACTCCTGTTTGTGTACGTGACCATTCTGAGACTGCACCATCAGGCAGGTAACTCTGTACTGCACCTGGGGACAGACTAGAATGCACTGCTGGTATCTTTGTCACTAGCAGTTTGCCATCTAATTTCAGGGGCAAATAAATGTCTTTTTTTCTAAGGAACTTGCTTTTAGATTTATTTTTTCCCAGTTAGTCACCAAGAGAAGATGGTAGCTCTGAGGCACTTTATTTGCCTGGCAAGCAAAGATATGGAACTGAGATCTTCTCAGGCGCCCATTATTTCCTCAGGATAGCTACAATATTTGGGCTATTTCCATGTCTTGGGCAACATTTTAATAATGGATGTGTTCCCAACTGAAGTTAAATGGAAGAGAATTCCTGATAAAGCCAAAATATCTCCCAAATGTCCTATTTGGTTTGGATGCTTTTCCCTGAAGCCTTCAGGCTGAATGGTGTGCTGTGCTCTGAGCTGGAATGTGAAAGATCATCTTCCTTCATGTCTCCTCTTGTCTGGAAGCCAAGAAACCTGAACAAATGGGGCTTCCTAGCTTGGGAGCCTAGTTTTGGTGTACCATCAGCTTTGTTATACTGTTTTTCCATTACTCAGTGCTCCAGTAACTCAAAAAACTGTTTACCAGCCACTGAGGGATGAATGGGTTTGAGAAAATGCTGATAATTGTAAGGTTAAAGACATAGCTAGAATTTTTGCCTCTGTTAAGTTCAGAATGAGTATTTTCCAGGTAAAATACACAAAACATAGCAACTTCCAGTAAACATGGACAGGGAGTTTAGAAGTTGTTGGTCCCAGCTTTGCTGTCACCATGCTGAATGAACATTTACCCTTGTAAATGCGACAGACATAGGGCACAGAACTGCTGCAGGGCCTCAGAGCATCCTGAGGCTTGATTTGTGGCTTTGAAATGGTCACTCTGGGATGGTTTGAAAGATTTAGACCTGATCTGATGTCTCTGTCTTGTTGGCACATTGCAGCATGGCCCAACTTCTTATGAGATTCTCAGTTGCTGTGACTAGTTTGCTGTATCTGTAGATTCTCTGTGTGTATCTTTAGTTATTTTTAGAACTGAGTCTAACCATAAAGTCAAAGCTTAGGCAGTGTTGATGTGGTTTCTGATGCTGAGGTTTGGCTAGGATGGTTTGCAGTCACTATGCTGGTGTCAAATCGTGGTTTTTTCACCCTGTGGATCTGAGGTTTGCTGCCCGCTGTGTATCTTCTCTCCATCAGCAGCTTTCTGTTTTAGCATTCCATATTTCATGTTTGAGTGAATTAATGTTTCATGTTTATTGTGTTATCTCAGTGTGTACAGACATAACTTTTACGTACACAGCTCTCCCGAGGAATTTGCTCCTATAGCTTTAAGCCTTGTGCAGTTCTGTGTCTGTAACCACTGAGTTGGTTCCTGAAGTTCCAGTCCTGCAAGTCTGTGTGCAGGTGAACCTTGCCCAGTCTGGGGAGGCTGGTGATGACTTCAGCAGGGCTTGCTCTCAGCACAGATATTTGTTCATGGAGGAAATTGTAGGGTGGATTTTAAAATTTCTTGGAGTGAATCTTCATGAGTATGTGACTATGTATGCAACGCAGCCAGGAGGGTCCCAGCCCTGCTGAAGTGTTCATTAGCTTTGCTCCCTGTCCAGGAGTGTGGACACGGTGAGTGTTTGCAGCTCAGTGCTGTAGCACTGGTTGTGGTAGCTTATATTTGTCCTTACCGAGTCACCTGTGCTGGCTGGGACAGAGCTGCACTGTGTGGTTTGCCTAATTACTGCTGTAATGAGGACTCATGGCAGAGAGGCCCCAGTGCAGTGTCCTGCCTTCTGCTGCTGCTGTCTGGCTGACCTGCTGTGAAAAAGCACCCAGAGGAAGAAAGCTCCAAGGGTTTCAAACACAGTGAAGGAAAATCCTATTGCTTATGATGATTAGCCTCTCGTATAGTTGTGTGGAGTGGTTGGAAGCAGAGTTAAATTAGCAGATTTCAACACTGACTCATTGCAGGAAAACAGGAGGCCACTCAGGCCATTCCCTAAGTCCTGTCCCTGGTCCCAGAGAGCAGAGGTCAGAGCTGCCCCTGCACTGCCCCTCGGGACGAAGTTGCATACAGCGATGTCGTCTCTCCTCAGTCTCCTCTTCTCCAGGCTGGACAGACCACGTGTCCTCAGCTGCTCCTCATGGGCCTTCTCCCATCCTTGTGTCCCTCCTTTGGACACTCTCCAATAGCTTCAGATCTTCCTTCTATCGTGGTCCCCAAAATGTTAAGTGCAGAGCAAGGGAAAGGTCTACAAGGTCTACTATTATACGTTCTAGTATTTCTTTGGGATTCAATTTTCATTTTTTTCCCCTTCTGTTTCCTTCTCAGCCTGTTCGATATGGGAGGAGAGTATTACTGCTATGGCTCTGACATCACGTGCACCTTCCCTGCCAATGGCAAGTTCACTGCTGACCAGAGGGCTGTCTACGAGGCCGTGCTGAAGTCATCACGGGCTGTGATGAAAGCAATGAAACCAGGTAAGAGGTGGGTC